GGCCAAGTACGAAACAAAAAGTAAGTGCAAGGCAAAAACTAAACTGGAGGCAAGCGTTTGCTTTTCCAGTGCTCGTTTACTATCTGACGTGAGCAGATGCAAGGTATTTCAGATACAATTCCAACTTGGACTTGCTCAAGCAGCACTTCCACAAGATTCAAATTTTGACAACCTTTTTACTGCAGCTTGTAAGTTGGTGGAACAACTGTGATTTAGTAAGCAAATGGGCCATCTGGCAGTAGTGGCAAATGTTTATGCTCGAAAATGTGGAATCTAAATATCGACATCGTGAGTGATGCTGTCCAGGAGGGATTGTAATTCTGGTGTTTGTCTAATTCACATTCAACTTGTGCACTTCACAAGGATGCTTCGTGCCTATATAAGTATAGAAATATGTCGCTGCAGCTCTGAAGCACTGGCTCGCGAAGATAGCTCCGAAATTGCTAAATTGTACTCAATTATACGTGCATTGCGTACTATTTCATGAGAAACATTTCTTGAACTGTTCGCGGTTGTAGTCCGTGGCATGCTTGTGTGGAGGAAAGCAACCATGGTGCCTCTGGTGGGACCAGGCGTAGACCCAGTTTTTTTTTTCTTTTCATGCTAGGGCCAGCTTTTCCGATAAAAATGTTAGAACGTATGTTTACTATCAACAATGAGTTCTTTCTCAGGCCGATGGGCATTCTAAGAAGGCATGGTATCTTACTTTGTGAAGGGTATTACTTCTAAAAAAAAAAAAAAAACGCCAGGCCTGCGCCGAACGCGCAGCATAGTCTAGGAGAAAGCTAGAACAGCGGTGTTTCAGAGCCTTTTATTGCGATAGCAATTATACGGACACACTCGGCTGGGTTTTGTCGCCCCCCAGGTGGTCAAAATTTCCGGAGTCCTCCACTACGGCGTCTCTCATAATCATGTGGTAGTTTTGGGACGTTAAACCCCACAAATCAATCAATGGGTTTTGTCGCCGGCGTTACTCATTGTATATGTATCCGTATCTATATATATGTAAACGTAAGAAAGAAAAATCATCTAGAAAAAGACTCCGGCGCGTGGAATCGAACGTGGGATATGAATCGTGAGTGCGCGGCGTTTACCACAGAGAAGCACCTCTTTCAATGTTCAAACGGCGAGCTATCCACTTACCGCTGCTGATTGGCCTCTCGAGGGGGAACCATTGTTTTCAGCATTACCAGCAATATGCCTCAATGAGCGCGCGTCGCCACATCGTCACGGTGCGGCGGCGCGTGCTCTCATTTCCCACGCGTACTTTGCGCCGCGGAGAGGAGGGTGGCGACACTCACCCCTTATCTCGAGGTGTGGAGTATCGTATGTCTTGGCTGGCCTTGGGCTTTCAGGAACGATTCTGTCATAGTTACCGAACGCACAAAGGCCACTGCAATCGTTGCAGTCTCCGTTTGAGAAAAGGGCGCGCTTTTCAGACACAGCGAAGTAACATTGATTGATTGATATGTGGGGTTTAACGTCCCAAAACCACTATATGATTATGAGAGACGCCGTAGTGGAGGGCTCCGGAAATTTAGACCACCTGGGGTTCTTTAACGTGCACCCAAATCTGAACACACGGGCCTACAACATTTCCGCCTCCATCGGAAATGCAGCCGCCGCAGCCGGGATTCGATCCCGCGACTTGCGGGTCAGCAGCCGAGTACCTTAGCCACTAGACCACCGCGGCGGGGCCAGCGAAGTAACAAATAAGACGCTTATTCGCGTTCATCTGTCCCTGTTAGTACGTTTCTTGCGTCATTTGTGCGTGAGAAACGCGGCGCCTGTTTTGATCTGCTTGCCATTCTGCGCGTCACCTTCCAATTTGTTGCTATCGCGTTCATTGCTTCGCCTTTGCGGCAAAGCTGTGCCTTTTTTCTAAACACTCTTTGTGTAACTGCTACGAGCACACTTGCTAGTTACCCACTACGCCATGAATAAGCATAAATTTCGTGTAGTAGGCCGGCGTTCACTATGCTATCCTACGTCACGCTTTGGAAAAGCGTAGTATCCGCTGCACACCTGTTGGAAATTTTGTGCAATTTTTTTATGCAGTGGCTGACGACGATGAAGAAATATACCGGAAGTAGGTATGCGCCACTGTTAATAGGTGATCAAGACCGAGTTTTCTAATTGGTTGGAGCATTGGACGACCCAGTCGTTATGCAACTCGCCTTGTGTAACGCATGGCTGTTCCTTTGATGCTCTAAAACGCTTTATTACTCATAATAACGCGATTCCTTTTCCGTCATCAAGCCTGCCTAAGGCCAGTTTAGAAATGAGTTCTAGGCACTGGCGTAGCTCAGTGGTAGGATACTGGGCAGGCGCGCAGCGGACCGGGGTGTCATTAATGTCTTTTATTGACCGAGTTTTTTTTTTTTTCGATACTGGTTATGGACACCGGCGGCGGCGGACAACTACGGCGTTGCGCATGACCAGTGTTCTGGTCTCGTAACAGCTTTCGCTGTAAAAGTTCGGCAGATCCCACGCACCGTGGCAATCAATGTTACGCGAAGCATGCGGAGGGAAGGCGACTGTGTTGCAAATGTCTTATTGAGCAAAACGTTACGAAATGACGCTAAAGATACGTACAAATGTTGTACGCACAGACATAGGTTAAACAGACGCTGTTGCGGAACCATGCCAACAGCAACTAGGGTATTGGCAACACCAGAAGAGGTAAGCTGATATGTAGCACTTAATTTCGTTCAACGAGGACGACGGCCCTTGACACCGCTAGATAAGTGATCTTCAATGGACAGCGCTTCACTACAATTGTCGTTAACCCGACGTGACGTCTGTATGACAGTAGTACGTGTGTACTGTTTATAACATTTTATAAGCAGCACTACAACCACAATTGACGTTTCACAAACATTAAACTCAACTTGAAAAGTAGTTCCGAGAACTTGGGTGGCTCTCTGGTAGAATACTTGATTGCCAAGCAGGCGGATGGGGCTACATTCCTGCTGGGACCCTGACAGTTTCTTTACATTCTTCGGGTCAACGCAGCCAATGTGTGTTCTTGCCGTTTTTGGGTAGATATGAAGCGTCAATCATCCGTGGCACATACCCGCATACCAGTGGCACGCGTTCTCCCGTTGGTACGTGCCGCAGTCTGACGGAAAGTGTTTGACGACGTACGCGACGGATGTGCGCAGTCGTGGCCGAGTGGTTAAGACGACGGACTAGACGTACGCGACGAGATTGTGAAATTATTCGTGTCATGACCAGCGAGTTCTATTCGTCAAACCATCTTACCTCCCCGTACTAATTTTGGTTTACCCCAAGTTAAGGAGGTGATTACGGGAGCACTGAGACGTAGGCGGATAAATAGATTAATTGATTGATTGATACGTTGATAGACGCTAAAAGTGCTTGCAGCCCGCAAATAAATGTTTCGCATTTAATATGTATTTAACACTTGAGCTTCTCGGATCACAAACCTTCGTTCAGTTACAGGGGGTGGGAAGGCTCGCAGCATCCATCCATCCATCCATCCATCCATCCATCCATTCATCCATCATGTGTGCGCCGTTCTGTCCGTACGGCCCGTCGCGGTGGTTTAGTGCCTAAGGTACTCGGCTGCTGACTCGCAGGTCGCGGGATGGAATCTCGGCTGCGGCGGCTGCATTTTTCGATGGAAGCTGAAATGCTGTAGGCCCGTGTGCTCAGATTTGGGTACACGTTAAAGAACCCCTGGTGGTCGAAATTCCCGGAGCCCTCCACTACAGCGTCTCTCATAATCATATGGTGGTTTTGGGACATTAAACCCCACATATCAATCAATCAATCAATCTCTTCGTACGTCTTTTGCCTGTAGCAAGCAGGCCACTTTGTCCGTTATGAAGTTGTCCAGAATCACAACGACAAAAAAAAAATTACAGCATATCCGCGGAGTGTATGGTGATGAGTGGGACGAAGCTTCGGAGGGTTTTATCGGTAAACCGTGAATTATCTGTCTGTTCGATAGATGGATGTGGCTCTACCCTTTAGATCGTGCAGCGGCTAACGTCACCTAGCCGTAATACTCATAGTTAACTAACCACTAGATTTATCTTTTTTTTTATTTAAATATATATAGTGAAGTTGACGACTGGTACTTTGCTGTGAAGGGTTTAATTTTCACTCGTGCATTGACTTTAGCCACCAATCAGATAACCTCCTTATAGTTAATTCTACCCTTTAAAAGTCTAGTTTGACCTCCCTGTCCCTAAACCCCAGTGCTTTGAAAAACTCTGCGCCATCATCCTAAACTTCTGTTCATCCGTCCACGCTACCGCCACCTGCTGAGTGAGTCATAGAACTAGGCGGCCTCGTACCACGACAACGAGAAAAGCATGTGCAGATCCACGGCGTTAAGAGCGTCGCCCCTTCTTAAAAAAAAATAATACTCGCAGGGTGTTGGTTTTTATGCATTCTCGAAAGACGACTCGACGGTGAAAGTCGCCATCTCCTTTCTGTCTTAATTGATGTATTGGATCTCCCCCCCCGCCACCTTCCGTTGGCATTACCTCGGGGATCGGAGGCATGTCGGGCTTTACGCAGCTCACCTGACCTTCGTTGCACTGGCTCCGTGATTGGCCCACTTGTGACCAAACGCCGGCTCGTGAGGCAGTATACTCCGACACTGAGGTCATTCGGTGATCTTTCGCGAAGATTCTCCAGGATGGCTTAAAGTGCTTTGCTGCAAATTTATTTCATAGAGCCGTGACATGAAAAAAAAAAAACGAGGTATTCGTATTGGAACACTTTCTTTAGTGCGCAACCATAAATGGGCAAGGAAAACGTGGATACACTGTGGTTATCTGGAGAACTTGCTTATACCAGTTTTAATAGCTACATTTTTACATTGTGTTTTATTCCGTTAAAACTGTACACATTATCAAAAAATGCCCCTAGCACGAAGGGAAACAGTAAAGGAATTGTATTATGAAATCTCGGAATATTTGGGATATTAGAAGCATAGCCAGCCACTGATTTCCAAGTTCACGGCTTCATGCCGACAGATAGGTTTTGCTGGCACTGTTATTAGCCGTGTGCGTGCCACTGTAGCCGTCTTGTGTACGTAAGATCACTTGTGGAAGGTTCAATTCTACAAGAGGCCAACTCGTGCACCGCCCGCCCTTTCCAAACCACCACGATCTTACATCTTCGTACATGGACGTCTCTTGACGATCGATGTGTAACTTTTTACAGAGCTCGCAGAATCCCCCATCGGCATCAACGTCGAAGTGCTCTTTCCAGGCGAAGTAAGCGGCGTACTCCGTGTAATTTTTCGACAGTCTTACGAGGTACTTGGCCAGATGCTCGGGAGATTCGGAAGGAAAGGGCGTTGATGTAGGAATGTGGCGGCGCTATTTCGCTGTACTTTGCGCCGCCGAACACGACTGGTATGATGTCGTGCCTGAGTGCGTTGAAAAACTTCTCGGTGACGTAATCTTCGCATATCGAGTTCTCGAAAGCAAGTGCGAAAAAATAGGTCTGCTGGAAGTCACGGTAACAGGAATCGTTACGCGACGCGGGGCACTTGTAGTCGCCGCAGAGGCCGTAGACGTCAACGTCCGCGTGTCTCCTCAATTCGGAAACGAAGCTTTCCCGTCCGCCTGAGGTGACGCAGTTACTGACCAACCACACGGCAGTCTTGTTCTTCGACTTCCAGAGGGTTTTCAGGTCTCTCTTAGCGAGTGTAGCATTTGTCAATAAGCGAGGTGTAATCCTGCCGTAGGGCAAGTACACATCGGAGTCCCTCCTGTACGTCATGGTCCAGTTAAACATGCCGTATGTGAACTTGAAGTCAGCGAATCCGGTATGCGGTGGTGATTCCATCAGGAAGAAGACCCACCTCTGCCAGGTGAGGCGCTTTCGACGGGAGCTGTGTGATCTTCATGTTCCGCATATGGAAGACGACGGCGTCGCTGTCTTCAATGAGACAAGGGTCATTTGTGATGAGACACTTAGCTGCACAGTTTCCCACAAAGTCTTCGCCGATTCTGGTGTCGTCCAGTGTCTCGGACCAGACACTAAAATATATGGTCCACATAAGTATCCGCTGGCAAGACCTTCGTGACGTTGCTGTTGCTTGGTGAGTTAACGAGAGGGCAAGCGTGACCCATGGCTTCTGGCACCCTTAAATATCTTGACTGCGTCACGGCGTAGTAACACAGGAACGATGCTGCCAACAAGAAAACTAAACGCTTATTCTGAACAAGGGTTATGACAGGGGACCGGTGGTCTGAAGGCTCCCGGGCGAAACATGCTAAAACCTGCAAGCAGCAAAAACGAATAAAAGTGCTGATTAACTTGACACAGTCACCCCATCAAATTATTTACAGGTAAAACCGTAGACTCACGCAAACGTTTTTTTTTTCGTTTTACACACACTTATAGCTACTGTCTAATTCCTCAAAGGCCTTGCAAGTAAGGAACAGATGCGTGACCAGTCAAGCAAGAAACAGCTAGTTATTATTTGGTTTCGAGACGTGAAACACACGTGAACACTGTGATTATAGGGATAGAGGTAGTGAAAGCAACAGCTCATGATACTATTGACATGTCATAATGAAAAGGCTCTATTGCAAATTAGATGAAGTGCGATATATAAAACCTACAGCCTCAACCCACAACCTTGGCATCATCGATGCCGAAGCAGTGCCTTCGGTATACTCCCCGGTAGCGAGCTTTTTTCGTCCTATTTGTCATTTTCCGTCAACCATATTTTATACAACTTGAGAAAACAGCCTACATATCACAGCCAGTGTATCATTTCGCCTAATTATTCGTTAGTTCTACACGGTTGTGTCCCATCAGCATAGGCGTGTGCAGGTTTTCCCCGGAGGGGTTCATCTCCCTCCCGATTCTGCATCGCTCGAGTACAGCGAACATGCTTATATCAATTGACGAAAAAAAAAAATTCCGCAATATCCACGAAGTGAATGATGATGAGTGGGTGAAGCTCTGGAGGTAAATTTGGCGTATCATGAATTCTCTGTACGTTTGGTCCACTCGATCATCATGTAAAGGCGTGACGAACGTGGGGTTGGTACGAAGCATACACGATATTATGTTTTATTCGTCACTAAAACGGTAGTGACATGCGGCTTCTGTTGACCCTTTATTATAACCGTATTGTGCTCAGTGAAGGGAAGCAGCAGCGGTTCTTGGATTAGATGTGCCGTGATTTTTTTTTTCATTCCCGTTGTAGAACGGCGTTGGTGCGGGATTGCTTGTTTGTAATGCTGGAGATGGTCAAATTGTTATCGAACCACAGGCGGTCGCAAACCTTGCAGCTGTGGCCAAAACTGAGATCTAGAAAGTCGATCGCGCTTGAAGCGCGCATCGGCGCCACCTATTTCAGGTAGCGTTCGCTTCAGGCGCTTAGCTGCAGCATCCCTCGCCCGTAGTTCCTCAGGACTCAGGAGTGGTAACGGTGCGGACAAGGGATGCTCGTTCCACTCCCACGCGTGGGAGTGAAGCGAGCGCTGCAGAGCCGTCTAGTGGGCGCTCGAGTACAAGTGGCTGGCATAAAAATGACGCGATGACGTGCTTCTCATGATGACCTGCCTTTGGCTTCACGTGAAGATGGAGAATAAACAGGTCTTGGAGTGCAACATCAGGGTCGTCCGCCAGCTTTATCTTCAGATGCCTCCTTGGCCATACCCAAGCTAAAGGTATAGACACAGATCTTCACTGGTAGGTGACTTGGAATGTGCCCCCCCCCCCCCCACCTGTGCCCTCGGGCCCATGCCTCTGCCCATCAAGGAAGAGGGCGAAACTTTCATTCAAGACCAACGAGAATGGTTTCCTCGGTTGCAAAAGGCGACGACGGTTAGTTGGCCAGAAACCTCTGTTCCCCAGAAGCTGCCCCTTTTCGGCCTGTGATCAAGACCTGCTCGGTCTGGATCACGGGCGTCATGATCGGGGATGATCAAGGAAACGGGGCCCTCAATCTTCTTACCCCCTTTTGTTTTATTCATAACGTTGTAGCTCTGGGCATTCTGAAATATACCGCGTCATTCGTGTTCTTGTTCACATATTGACCGTGGCGCATGCTCACTAGGGGAGTTCAAACGCCCCTGTATGCATCACGTCTTTTTGTAACTCTCCTGATGGCTTGGTGTCATTCAGAAAATGCATATTGTGCTGATGATGTCAAGAGCAGTCATTCTCATTTCGGACATGTCATAGAGTAACATAGTTACTCTATGGACATGTCGCCTTAGAAGACGACAGCAACGTAGTGCGCGCGCGACTGTACAGGTGTTGTACCACGAGGGCGAGCCTTGTTTTGAACGCTGGCCAGTAGCGACTCGAACGCACGAGCTACGATTCTGAACTTGTTCATGTTTCCTGTAGTTAAATGAATCGTATACAGCCACAAGCGGCTTTACAGACGTAACAGTTTCGAATACATCCCATTAAACCATACAACTCATATAAATGCTGATTTACGCCAAGATACTGAAACTATCACGTTCGCCTAACACGTAGGTAGGTAGATAAGTGGTTGGGTCGGTATGCGGGTATGTTTAAGGAGTCAAAATGTGTTCATTTCACCAAAGAATGCTTCGCTTGAAAACCGGAAAAACAGTACCTTATGATCCACCCGGTCCATGTGTCAAGATGCGCAGGACCACAAGGCTACCCAAAGCAGTAGTGTTGACAATAGACTTCTACCCAACGTTGCTGGATATCTAGTAACGTGGACCTCTACCGGGTGACTTGCACGTGCGCCGGTGACGTCACAGCGTGACATCACCGGCGCACTTGCAAGGCGGCGGTTGGCAAAACCGCGGAAGGGAACTCTATTGGCAAAACACTCCCGCCAGTGGCTGAGTAGGGTACAGTCGCTCGGTGCTTGGAGTAAAGCCCAAACTCCATAAGCGCGAAAATGCACGCGACAGCGACGAGCGACGCTATGAGCGACGAAACAGGGCGTTCGCGCGATCGCTCGGTTCTCCAGCAGTTTGGAAACCGTCGCTCATCGCCCGGAAGTGCTGGGCTCAAGCAGCCAATAGCGAAAAACCGGAAAAGACGAAGACTACATAGGTGCACGTGACCCTGCCCGAGTCACGTATGCGCAACAAGAAATAACGCAATGTTTATTAAGCATGCGCATATAAAAAATGCTGCAAGGCAATAATAAACATTTTCCGTTCCATTACACAACAATATATCTTATTTTTAAATTGGAAACCGCTCGCTACGCGGTTTTCTTGGTGCGAGTTGACGGCCTCATGCCAGCAACAGTGGAATTCGCTCGCCGAAGCCGTCGCGTGAATGAGGTTTGCCTGCGCTAGCGACTGATCGCGCGACGCCGATCTACGTCGCGTCGCTCGTCGCTGTCGCGTGCATTTTCGCGCTTATGGAGTTTGGGCTTAAAGTGACATCGAATAAGGGAAGTGTCTATAGCGCAGGCTCCCGCGTGGGCCTTTTGCGGTGAAATGCCGCGCCGTGCCGCTGCTGCCCAAGACCCATTAAGGTCCAGATGAAACACGTTTCCAAGGTAGCGTCACTCATTGTTCTCGAGCCGTCCTCCTCACTCTTTCGCTTACCTCTCCTTTTCTCTGCCATCCGCGTCTGTAATTGGTACATTCCTTTCACGCGATCTTGTGAATGGCTGGCGGTGTTATTTATTATTATGCGAAAAGTTCAAAACGAGTACGCATGTGCATATGGCTGGAGCCGGATTCTCGCCGTGACCAAAGACGTAATCGTAGCCAGGACATAAACTGAAGAGGAGGGGTGTTTCAGTTGGCGCCAAGTCGGCCAAGATTGTTTCGCGGTACTCGTTCAATGCAATATCCGAGATTTTCAACAATGGCCCATGGGTTGCCGTAAAACAACAGAAAACGCTTTTGCTCTCTTCAACTTACCTATGCTATCTGAAATAAAACGCCGTGAAGTGTCGCTATGAAACATTTGAATGCACCTTCAGGAACATTTCACGCTAGACCAGTTCGAGTCACTTTCTCTAGAACGCAGAACAAAGGAGCCGAAACGCGCTCTTTCGGGACACCTCACCAGTAGAATTGGGTTTTCAGGAATATCCGCGCACCGCACCAGAATCACCTGGCATCACGATTGTCCGAATGGGCACATAAAAAAAACGTCATCGCAGTGCTGCTAGTCAAACGTTCGTACCAGTCTGGCTGTGGCTTTTCTTTGCGTGTGCACAAGCCGGCTGTAATCACTCGTCACAACGTCACGCCCAATGGCCACTGACAGCTAGCATGCAGCAGGAAGCTCGTTTACTGTGTCACACCACGAACAAAACAGGTTCGGAAAACTGGACGCGAAAGGCCATGGCTAGTGGTGCCAGTTGAGTAACGTTGCCAGTTGAGTAACGCACATCCCGCTTGCTTTTGTTGTACCGTTTATCTTCATTAAGGTAACCGTTTATTCTACGACTCATTTCGCTCTATTTTGTTTTATTTGCATATATTCACCGTAGCAACTAAACCCATACATTCGCTTTTTGATGAAAGCTTTGAACCTCCTAGGGGGCGCTCCAGGAACATAGGCGAGGAGGAAAGGAAAAGGTGTCGCTACCTTGAAAACTTGTTTCATCTAGGTACCTTAGGACCCATGGGCTTTCCGAGCTCCGGAGCTCGCTGAAAGCGAGGGGCGTCTGCGACGCGTGGTAGTTTCTAAATGCCTATGTCTATGTCAAATGGCTAAATGGCTATGTCAGGCATCCGGCGTTGTCCGTAGCGTCCGCGGTGGTGTTCGCGCGCCGGCAGGTGTTATTTCTCTGCTCTCACTCGCTCTCCCATGGC